AAACAATTTACATTTAAAGTGATTATTGATAGGTATGTATTTATTTCCATTTTATTTTTAACTATATTCCTCTGTTTTGTTTTTCTTCTTTCACTTCTTTTTTAATATATATGTATTCACAGAGGAAGGGAGAGGGAGAGAGACATAGAAACATCAATGATGAGAGAGAATCATTGATTGGCTGCCTCATGCATGCCCTACACTGGATATCAAACCTGCAACCCGCACATATACCCTGACTTAGAATTGAACCGTGGCCTCATGATTCATAGGTTGATGCTCAACCACTGAGCCACACCGTCTGGGCTCTTCTTCCACTTCTTAAAGCAAACCCTTCAACATTTCTTGTAATGCTCGTTTGGTGGTAGCAAACTACTTTAGGTTTTTCTTGTCTGGGAAGCTCTTTATTTCTCCTTCAATTTTAAATGATAGCCTTGCTAGTTAATGTAGCCTTGGTTGTAGGTCCTTGCTTTTCTTCACTTTGAATAGTTCATGCCAATCCCTTCCCACTTGAAATGTTTCTGTTGAGATATCACCTGACAGTCTTATGGAAGCTGCCTTTTAGGTCACTTACTGCTTTTCCTGTGCGGCTTTCTAGATTATCTCTTTGTCTTTAGCTTTTGATATTTTAATTATGATGTGTCGTGATGTGGGCCTCTTTGGGTCCATCTTGTTTGTGAGTCTCTGAGCTTCCTGGACTTGTATATCTTTTTCTTTCACCAGGTTAGGAAAGTTTTCAGACATTATTTCTTCAAATAGGTTCTCAACCTCTTGTTTTCTCTGTTCTCTTTCTGGTACCCCTATCACATGGATGTTGTTGTGCTCCTTGTTTTCACAAAGGTCCCTTAAACTATCCTCATTTTGTCTGAGTCTTCTTTCTTTTTGCTGCTCTGATTGGGGTTTTTTTCTACCTTGTATTCCAAATCACTGATTCGATCCTCTGCTTCATTGAGCCTGCTTTTTATTCCTTTCAGTGTATTCTTAATTTCAGATATGGCATTCTTTGTTTCTGACTGGTCCTTTCTTATGGTTGCTATGTCTTTTTTCATACTGTTGAGCATACTTATAATCATTACTCTGAACTCTATAGCTGATAAATTGCGTACCTCTACTTTATTTAGCTCTTCTTCTGAAGAATTATCTTGTTCCTTCATTTGGAACCTGTTTCTTTGTCTCCCTGTTTTGGTTGCTTGTTTGTATTTGTTTCTATGTATTAGATACATCTGATATGACTCACAGTCTTTGTATGGTGGAGTTATGAAGTAGGTGACCAGTGGGCCCTATTGGCACAGTGTACCTGATCACCAGAACTGGGTATTCTAAGGATGTCCCTTGTGCACGTTGTGTGGTCCCTCCTGTTGTTATTGAGTCTTAATTGCTATTGGCCTTTTTGTGTGTGGGCTCAACCCTCAGGCTGTCTAAGAGTGAGGCCCAACTCCCAACACAGCGTGCAAGCTGCTGTGTAGATGCTAATCACATAAAATGAATCCACCTCAGCAGGGTTTGTTGCCTGCCACTATCTGCCTGTGGATATGCTGCTTGTGAAGCTTATTGGATCCTGTTCTGTTGTCTGAAGCTGGCAACTAGGTGTACTGGTCTTAGCCTCTTCAGAGGGTCTCTGGTGCAGACCACTGTCAGACACTGTCTGTGTTTGGCTCTGAGCAACCTGTTTGGAGCTATCAGCAACCCACAGCTTGTTGCTTCCTCTGCTGGGCCTGTGTGCTTATGGAAAGGACCAAGCTGAGCACTACATTCTGCATTTACTAGTCCCAGGCCCAGGAGCAGATCAAGCAAAGACTCAAAGCATACGAGGATCCGCCTCTGCCTGCAGGCTGTCAGTCTTAGTCACTTAATGATCATCTGGCTGTAGTCAGGGCTTAATCTCCACAGGGTGGGTGAGCGGGATCTCAAAGTATGTGGCTATCACTTCCCCCACAAGCTAATGCTACCTGGATGGTAACTGTCTGCCTGATAATGATGGCTTCTGCAGTATGAGGGAATGGCTCAGCACAGGGATCAGGAGCCTGTTGTCTCAGGTCTCTCCCCAAGGCCACCAACTCCAGACTCCCCTCACACAGTGGTAGTCCACTCTGCTCTCCCTCTACTGAAGCTCAAGGTGAATGGCTACAAACAAACTTTTCGTTCATTGGCCCTTCAAGAGAGTGCCTGCATTTCTAGCCATCTCTCCCTGGTGGACAGAAACCCCATTTCTTTTCAAAGCCAGATGTTATGTGAGCACTTTCCCCAGTTCTGGTGCTCTGGGCTGTGGAGCCTGGTTTGGGGGATAGACTCCAGACTTCTCAGAGGGAACCCCCACAGCTGAGAATCTCTCCAGAACTTCAGCTACTGCCTGTGGGAGCCTGGCCAGCCATCTCACACCTCCACACTTCCTACCAGTCTTGATGTGGCCTCCTCTTTAAGTCCTTGTTATCAGGCTTTCTCCAGCTAGTTTTCAGTTGGTTATTCAGAATGATTTTTCTATGTCTTAGTTGTAATTCCAATTTGGTCCCAGTGGAAGGTAGCTTTCTCCTAGTCCATCACCATGTCAGGCTCCCTCACAATATTATTGACTATATTATTCCCTAAGCTATATTTTACATCCTCATGACTATTTTGTAACTACCAATTTGTACTTCTTAATCCCTTCACTTCTTTCATCCAGTTATCCAACCTCCCTAGAGCATAAGCATATTTTGCTAAATGAACTGTCAGTCAGAGAAAGACAAAGACCATATTATTTCACTTATATGTAAAATATAAAGATTATATATATATACAGGGCCCACATTCAGCCCGCTGCCCTCGGCTCCGGCCCACCTGTCAGCGCCCCAACTGGGGTCAGATCTGAGGCAGAAGGGGCAAGTCCACCACACCTGGGGCCTGTGCTAGGCACTCAGCATGGCTAGAGGCAGGTCACAAATGAGCAGCAGCCTTGGGAAGTACAGTGGGGCCTTGACCTACGAGTTTAATTTGTTCCGTGACGGAGCTCATAACTCAAATTACTCGTATGTCAAATCAACAATGAACGAGTGAGACACGTGATGCTGGGCTGATGTTGTGGCGTTCACTGTGACGTTCGCTGCGCCAACTACCGGTGGGGTATCTGAAGCTGGCTTGTAACCCGAATTTTAGCTCGCAACTCAAAGCAAAAAATCGGCCAAGAGACGGCTCGTATCTTGAAAAACTCGTTAGTCTGGACACTCATAAGTCAAGGCCCCACTGTACTAGCTGAAAAAAGGTGAAGAGATTGAGAAGTACAGATTGTTCATTACAAAATAGTCATGAGGATGTAAAGCACAGTATAGGAAATATAGTCAATTATATTGTAATAAGTATATATTGTGCCAGGGGCAGGTGCTAAATATCAGGGAGAACAGTTTATTATTTGTCTAACCACTATGCTCTACACCTGAAACTAATACAACATAATATTAAATGTAAATTGTAATTGCAAAAATAAATTTAAAAAATATAGAATATAAAAAAAGAAAAGAAAAAGACAATCCATGGAATGGGAGAACATCTTTGCAAATTGCATATCTGATAAGACATGCTTTCTGAATATACTGTGTAAAGGACACTTGCAATTTAAGAATGAAAATATAACCCATTTGAAAATGGATAGAGTATTTGAAAGGATATTTTTATAAAGTGGTTATATAAATAATCATAATCACATGGAAAGATGTTTAAATCACAATTATAATGAGATATAAATTTACAGCCACTAAAATGATTATATTAAAAAAGACAAATAATAACAACTGTCAGGCAGAAAATGAAGAAATTATATCCTCGAATTTTAGCTCGCAACTCAAAGCAAAAAATCGGCCAAGAGACGGCTCGTATCTTGAAAAACTCGTTAGTCTGGACACTCATAAGTCAAGGCCCCACTGTACTAGCTGAAAAAAGGTGAAGAGATTGAGAAGTACAGATTGTTCATTACAAAATAGTCATGAGGATGTAAAGCACAGTATAGGAAATATAGTCAATTATATTGTAATAAGTATATATTGTGCCAGGCAGGTGCTGGAAATATCAGGGAGAACAGTTTATTATTTGTCTAACCACTATGCTCTACACCTGAAACTAATACAACATAATATTAAATGTAAATTGTAATTGCAAAAATAAATTTAAAAAATATAGAATATAAAAAAAGAAAAGAAAAAGACAATCCATGGAATGGGAGAACATCTTTGCAAATTGCATATCTGATAAGACATGCTTTCTGAATATACTGTGTAAAGGACACTTGCAATTTAAGAATGAAAATATAACCCATTTGAAAATGGATAGAGTATTTGAAAGGATATTTTTATAAAGTGGTTATATAAATAATCATAATCACATGGAAAGATGTTTAAATCACAATTATAATGAGATATAAATTTACAGCCACTAAAATGATTATATTAAAAAAGACAAATAATAACAACTGTCAGGCAGAAAATGAAGAAATTATATCCTCATATACTGCTGGTGAGAATGCAAAATAGTGCAGCAACTTTGGAAAATTTTGGCAGATCCTCAAATTTTTAAATATAGAACTACCACATGACTTATATATACACTCTAAAAAACTAAAAACAAATTTTGAAAAAAAATTGTACAGGAATATTCATAGCAGAATTATGTATAATAGCCAAAAGTGGAAACAACTTGATGTCTCTCAACTGATTAATGGATAAAGTTGGTTGTATCAATATAATTATGCAGGCAAATTTTGTGAAAATTCTTTATAAAACTCACCTTAATAATCAGAATTTACCTTCCTGTTCTTGTATCTACCAGACATATAGCGTTCAGCTGACAAAATGAAAGATTTCACTTTAGGAAGACTCAATCCAACCTTTTACTTTAAATATACATATCTGTTAATTGTAAGGTACAGTCTAGTAGATACAAACATCTCAAAAAGGTCATCTATTTTTGAAGACTGTTTTTGATAGTGTTAACTTATTTGATACTAAAATAAAGGAAAATGTCCACACAGATTATTAAAAGTAGCATCATCAGCATTTAATAAAGCTCAGGAAAAAATATTGACCAATTTTTAAAAACATTTTCCAGAATCTATTACAAAACACCCTGTTTTCTCTAATGTTCTCCAGAGCATATTTTTATACACAAAACAATGGAATATTTTTTTGTTTGACTCTAGTGTGTATTGCAAAATTTAGGACCCTAAAAATGAAATTTAGAAACTGCATCCAAAATGTTTTCTTTGTTATTATATCTCAAAAATTTGCACTACTCACCTAAATTCATTATTAAACTATCTAGAACTCCAGGAACTCATCAATTGTATTTCCAACAGTACTGAGTTTATTTTAAAGCATCACATCAAGTTTGAATCTCTGTAAACAAAGCCATGTTTTCATTATATGTTGATTTTTGCAAAGAGCACAGACTTAAACACTTCAAATGACAATGAAAAAGTAATTTTAAAAAGTGTTTTATTAATACAGTAGTGTGGAACTAAAGTACAATGTATATTCCTTGTGGGTCGGTGACTCAGGCCATGATGTTTCTTGTCATCTTAGAAGTCTTTAGAATTAACATTTTAAAATTGACCTTTTTATCTGACACTTATACTATTCACTGGAATAGAGGCATAGAAAATATTTCCTGTACTTAGATTTAATGTATTCATACACTATGTGGCCATGATGAAATACAAAGATCAAATATCTGAGAGATAGTAGCATTTGCTATCACAATTTATTTTAAAAGGAGGAAACCACTAAGATACTGCTAGCAAAGACCCCCCCAAACAGACTTAAGCAATTAATGTTGACCTATTTTATAACAGTTAATTAAAAGTCTGAGCTCTTTACAAAAGAATGCCACTTTAAATGTACTTATCATCCCACTTTCATAACATACGTATGCATATTTCACTGGAGCAAGCAACTTCAAAACATGATTACATCATTTTGCTGTGTAGTTAAGCAAAAAATCTGTCAAACAAATGCATTATTTTGTGGGAGGTCATCTATTCTAATCACTGAAATATGCAATGAAAGGCTACATTTAGAAGCCTGGAAAACCTGTACTCCAGTACATATAGGTTTCAACTACAAAATAATGGGAATGTTATAATTACCATTGGAAATTACAATGTCTTCCATATCATCAAAATTACCTGCAACTACTTTTTAGTCACAATAACATCACTAGAAAAGACACACTAAAATTAGTGAGGCAATTTGGGAACAAAAGACAGATTCTTTCTCTCCTTTTTAAATTCCTCAATGTAGAGCTACAGATATACTTAAGCTGCAATAATAATACCAACAAAGTACAGAAGTGTTTGCTTTTTAAAATCATTGAAGTACATAAAATGTCTTGGCAGATAACAAAACTATTCCATAACATCTACTTAAAATTTTATGTTCATTCACATTCTCCTCATCACGACATTCACATTTAATTATGTATTCAGTTTGATTGTTTGCATGCAAAAACACCAACGAATCTATTATTTCAAGACAGCCTATTTCTTTTGAAGCCAAGATAATTCTGCTCTTTTATAAAAATAATGGAGATTCCTTTTCCAGGATGTGTAGGGCAGAATGTTTAAGGTTTATGCTTGCTGCTTTGCCTGTGCTTCTGCTTCCTGAAATGAAAACAAAAACAAAAACAAAACAGATTTAAATATCACAAATCAGATATCCATATCCATGTGTATTTTGGTTGGACTACATTAGTTTAAATTACTAAAAACAGTCAAAAGCAAAAAGTGGCCCTCGGAAAAGACAGCCCTACCCAGGACATGAATCACCCTTGGTGCAACGTATCTACAATATATATTATACCCACTCAGTAGTCACTTAAGTAGCTGTCCAAACAACTTCCATAGTGCATTCAAATAACCTTTATTGAACTTAATAATGGCCACAAAGTGCAAGAGTACTATTGCTGGCAGTTCAACTATGCTAAAGAGAAGCCATAAAGTACTTCCTTTAAGTGAACAGATGAGTATAATACAGTAAGAAAATTTTAGAGAGATAAAGAACACACATAACTTTATTACAACATATTGTTTAAATTGTTCTATTTTATTATTATTTTTGTTGTGACTTTATTACTGTGCCTAATTTATAAAGTAAACTTTATCATGGGTATATATGTATAGGAAAAATCATATATATACATGCTTCAATACTATCCATTACCCATTGCTGGGACTGACTAGCAGACCCTGAGTGACAGATGAATGATTACTCTGACACATGTTTCTGTGAAAGAGAGGGCTAAGGGACTTCCTGGCTAAAGGAACCAGACAATCCCATTCGCCTGCCTCCTTAGGCTTTTATTATAGCAACAGCTTGAACTAAAATTAACCTCTAGATACAATCAGCAGGGTAAGTATCCTTGAGAAAACACATGTATCTGGACGTTTTGAAGTCTAAACATAAAGATTCTAGTAAAATACCTAGGGGCTCAGACTTGTTTGGAAAAGTCAAGGCTAGGTCTACTGCCTTCGGTAAGAATCCCCTAGAGGCCTCTGACCTTCCAGAGAATCCTCCTTACAGACTTTCCAACCAAGTCCCGTGATTCCCCACAATCCATGGTTCCAGGCATCCACTGGGTGTTGGAATGTATCCCCCGAAAATAAGGGGGAGTACTCTACCATCATGTATAGGTATATCCCAATGCAGTGGTTCCTGTTGATGCTTCTGTAAAAATGTCTTAATGTCACTTCAGTATTTTGAAATTCCTAACAGCTCTAATGTCACATCTTTTGTGAATCTGTTCCTAAACTCCTTACTAGTAATGTATGATTATTTCTTCTGGACACCTGTAGCCCTTATTTTTAAAAATCGTATAGAATTTTCTGTAGTATATCTTTTAAAATTTTTTCATAATATCTCTTAAATTATAATTATTTGTAGACATATATATTGTATACATATTTGTATACATGGCCCTCACTAAAAACTTTGAAAGTAGGGACTATGATGTATTTCCTGTATTTGCTCCATCATCAAGGCTAAGTCAGTGCTTGACATTCAATACATACTTGTTGAATGAACAAATGAATGAATGACTGCTATGTTTAATTGAAGGAGAGTTATTGTCACATAAAACAGACTATCCTCACTTTCATACTTCCTAAAATATGTACTGAAATCAATTACTTAAATTGCATTTTACTAATTTTTTAAACAAAAATGCCTTAACTAACATTTCTTGTGATTTAAATTACACAAAGCCTAAAAGAAGCAATTTTAAGAAAGTTTGACAAAGAAACAGAATTTCACAGTAACTCAGATAACAATGCAAGTAAATGCTTTCTAGTGAAAACACAAACAATAACACAGACTCTCAAAATTGGAGGAGATGGATTTCAATGAATCTGTTCAATATAAAATCAGTTCCTAATAACAAAATGCAAACTGATGGGATAGGGGACATACAGTATGATCAAGCTAGTCAGTGTGGAGAAGACCTACAATAAAAGGCAAAGGTGTATTTATTTATTGTTATCTCCCATTTTATTTAATTATTTATTTAATTATTTATTTACTTATATCTTTATTGTTGAAAGTATTTAAAGTATTTATAGATGTCCCTTTTTGCCCCAATTGTCCCCTACCTCCCCACTCTACCCATTCTCCAGGCCTTAACCACATCATAGGTTATGTGTATATGTATATATGTTCTTTGGTTACTCTAATCCCACCCCACCCCTTCCCTCTGAGATTCCTCAATCTGTTGCATGCTTCCATGTCTCTGGATCTATTTTGTTCCTTAGCTTATTTTGTTCATTAGATTCCACATATGAGTAAGATCATGTGATACTTAACTTTCTCTGACTGCTTTATTTAGCTTAACATAATACTCTCCAGGACCCTCCATGCTGTTTCAAAGGGTATGACATCCTTCTATTTTATAGCTGCATAGTATTCCATGGTGGAAATGTACCACAGCTTTGTTATCCACTCATCTACTGATGGGCACTTGGGCTGTTTTCAGACCTTAGCTATTGTAAACAGTGCTGCTATGAACATAGGAGTGCGTATGATATTTTTGATTGGTGTTTCAGGCTTCTTAGAATATATTTGTATAAGTGGGATTACTTCTATTTATAAGTTAAATTTTTAATTTTTTGAGAAAGCTACACACAGTTTTCCATAGTGGCTGCACCAGTCTGCATTCCTAACAGCAGTGTACTAGGGTTCTGTCGGAGTTCTTACTCCTTTATCCTGCTCAAGTACACCAACTGTGGGGCCACAGGTCCTCCTCTTCTAGGAACTGGAACTTCATTGATGCCAGGCAGTGGATGAAGATGATATGAGCAGTTTATAGGCATATAGGAGAGTCTTTATTGCAGCCCAAGTAGCCATTGTTAACAAGGAGCCATCAGATAAAACAGTTCTTCAAAGTAGCTTACAAAGTAGTCCAGCAAACATAGGAGCCATTGCACACACAGGAACCCAACCCTACATAAAAGTAGCCTCGTACCAGCTGGTCAGCAATACCTCTTTATACCAACTTAGACAAAATAGGCTTAAGCTTGCCAAATAGTGACATCAATACTTGGGCTACAGAAAGGTATGCCTGTGCATTGCATACAGTCCAATCGCTATGTCCTTGCCTTTGCACCTGCAGGTGGCACATTGACCTTGAGCATCCAGCGTACACTGCACAGAGCCCCAGCACTCAAATTGGCCTCAAACACCCGGTGTACTTTGATTAAGGTTCCCACACTCCACTCCTTACACCAGACGGTCTTCGCAGGGTACCATGGCCTATTTGTCAGCTCCTTGAACACAAAGCTTACAATAATAATATAAACTGTAGCATGTTAGAACCAGTACTCAGGCCCTAATAGTAAAACTCACAAATGTCAGTGCTATGTCCCTGACAGTCTATCCTACTAATCTTGGAGGGGTTCATGGGAAAGGGCTTGTATGGCTTGTACTTCACTATCTCTTGCAGGGTACTAGTTATATTGCCAGGGCTGGATCAAGGGGTGTGACTGTAACTTATAGTCATACCCGCTTTCTAAAGGTGATAGGAGGGCCACCAATGGCCCTTCTCTTGTAATGGACCATGGCCACGTTCACACTTCCTGTTCCCCTCTGCCAAGGGGGAAGCCTTGGGTCGCAATAGTTCATCTGTTGCTTTATTTGTACATGCAGTGTCTGAGGATACCTCTGCATACACTCGTCTAGCCTAATCTTTTAGGCTAAGTGGGTCCAGCCCCAGGTGGAGCTCCCATTTCCTGTCCCCTCATGGGGTTATGGCCTACTAGCCACTGTTGCTTGTGGCATCATGGCAACTACAAAGACATCCCAGCTGTCTATTCTAATGGCCAAAGGGATACTTTGCCCAGTAACTTAATCAAACTACATAGTTCATTAATATGTAAACGGACAGTCACAGCTGTCCATGTAGCAGGATTCCCCCTACTAGACCTGTGCTTATACCACATGGTCTCCAGGAGGCGTGGCATACCCTCTTGGAAAGAACTCGGGAGTATCTCCATAGGATTTTTATCCCTTGACAGGGTCTTATAAATTACAGTTTCCAACAGGGTCTGTAATTCCTGTAACAGACAGCTGGTACTCACCGCTGCCCTCTGTTTCAAATAGCCCCCACTGTGCTAACGTTGGGGTTTTGCCACTCCTGACATGGGCGTGGTCACACAGGCCTGTAAGGCAGCACACATGGCTTCTGACTGTCTCTCAACAAGAGAGTATTTGCTCCCATTTGACCCAGTAATCCCACCTCTAGGAATATATCCCAAGAACCTAGAAACACCAATCAGAAAGGATATATGCACCCCTATGTTCATAGCAGCACAATTTACAATAGCTAAGATTTGGAAACAGCCTAAGTGCCCATCAGCAGATGGGTGGATTAAAAAATGGTGGTACATCTACACAGTGGAATACTACACTGCTGTAAAAAAGAAGGAACTCCAACGATTTGCAAAAACGGATGGAACTGGAGAACATTATGCTAAGCAAAATAATTCAGTCAGAGAAAGATAAATATCACATGTTCTCACTCATTTGTGGATTATAATGAACAACATTAAACTGATGAACAAAAACAGATCTGGAGACAGAGAAGCATAGATCAGATGTTCAAACCTCAGAGGGAAAGTAGGGGAGGGTGGAGGTAAGGGGGAGAGATCAACCAAAGGACTTGCATGCATACATATAAGCATAACCAATGGACACAGACACGAGGGGGGTGAGGGCCTGAATGGGAGGGGTGGGCAATGGGAGGATAAGGACACATAAGTAATACCTTAATCAATAAAAATAAAATAAAATCCTGTTGCAATGATAATAATAAAAAACTGTGGTTCATCTACAGAATGGAATACTACACTGCTAAAAAAAAAAAAAAAAAAGGAATTCTTCCCATTTGCAACAGCATGGATGGAACTAGAGAGCATTATGCTAAGCGAAATAAGCCAGTCAGAGAAAGATAAATATCACATGAACTCACTCATTTGTGGAATATAATGAAAAACATAAACTGGTGAACAAAATTGATCCAGAGAGACAGAAGCATTGAACAGACTGTCAAACCTCAGAGGGGAAGCAGGGGATGGTGGAAGGGGGGTAAGAGATCAACCAAAGGACTTGCATGCAT